TTTTCAAATACCTTTGATTGTTTGTCGATGACTTTTAAAATTGAGAAGCTTTGATAGGATGCATCAAATTTGGTTTTGGCAACTTTAATTCGGAATAAATAAGTCTTTCCAACAATTGATTTCACACATGTGGGAATGCTGTCCAGTCCTTTGACGCTTGAAGTTTCTTCAATCTATGTCAGCCATATTTATTTGTTTAATAATGATCTACAAATAAAGTTTATATGTAGATATAGATGATACTTACATCTTCTATAGCTATTTCTGGTGCAGTTGTTCTAATGACTCTTGAAGCTTCTAGATCCCATAAGATTAAAGTTGCACAATCATGTCCATCGTCAACAATCATTTCAATTTTAAAACTGAAAACATAATCAATTGGGTCAATATCCATCCATAGTTATATATACAATTAAGTAATTTAAGATAGCAAAATTTACCTAAGCATTCCAATGGCCTGCGATTTATCACATATTTTGCAAAGAAAAGAGGACTATGACTTTGTTAATTTTTTCTGGCATGNTGAACATGATATGTAGTTCCACCCATTACGTGGAACAATTTCTATGATAGTTGCTTCACATAGAAATTCTTTTATCTGCAATAAATTAAATTACAAATTTGTTATAAAGAATATATTAGCTAAGGTATAAATTACTAAAAAGAAATAAGAATAATTGCATTACCATAGGATTGTCGGATGAAACATAGTCCCAAATATGAGTAATGGACTGTTGTTGTTCATCAGTTTTGTCTTGATGGATCATAGTGCGTAGCTTAATTGAGCAGCCACCATCATACTTTAAACTAAAAAAGAAAACGGAAAAAGTATTTAGTAGTATTTTTTTTAATTATTTGTAGAGGTGTGATATTAAAAATATGAATAATCTAGATTACCTTTTTCTAAATTCAGTGACGCAGTCGGAATCATTATTCAAATAAAACTTAGTTGAAGAAGATGCTGACAATTGTAATGCTCCTTGATACGACTTAACCAAAACGCTTGTCATAATGAGGACGATGTTATTATCCTCTATAACACGGTATTTGTCTTCAAATATTTCAGCTTGTTCTGCCCATATGGTGACAGGTACTTCGGTTCTACTGTGAAAATAAATTATCAAAGAAAAATATTAAAATACAGAATATATTTGTGTTATATTATTGGGAATAAATAAGTCACTTGGATGTTACGAAAACTTACCTCTCTAGTAAAAGGATCAAGTCAACCTTTCTAACCATTGTTGTTGGAGTGGTTTTACTACGAACGTCACCTTTTTCCACTTTGAGAATGTATCCAATTGTATCTGTACAAATAGAAAAAGTATATTTGATTTAAGCTTTGTTTTTGTAGAAAATAAACATAAGATATAATATTTGATTTAAGCTTTGTTTGACCAAATCGTTGAAAGGAAGTATACGAAAATTTTCTAAAGAAATTTTGTAAATTTCTTGTCCAACACTTGTAACCCTTGTTCTTTCTGATAAGTTTATGAAAAACGGATGGCTAGAAGCTTTATATTTCTTCTTGTTACTTGATTGGACATTGAAATTGCAAATCTCAATGATATTTCCTTCGCATAGTTGATTTCCAAATTTGTGAAGCATAGAATGGTGGACAAAGCATAGTATTGTATTCTCCTATTTAAAAAACAATATTAATATAAAGCTATTTAATAAATAATATCATCAAAAATTAATAAGATACTATACATATTAGCGAAATTTAATAAGATACTTTACATATTAGCAAAATTTAATAAGATACTTACTTTTTCATCAAGCAATAGAAGTTCTACCCCCATGAGAATATTGTTTGCTTTAAGATTTCTAGCTTTCCACGCTTTCCACTTTCAAAAACACGTACGATATAGTACGACAGTAAATTCGATTTCGATCTAGTTGATTTAAAGTTAAATAGTTTTGATCAATTTGTGGAACTTTTGAATTCATGGCTTTTTCTCTCTAAATTCAATGAAGATGAAGAGATTATAAGAATTAGGCACAAAAATAAATTATGAAAAGAATAGATATCTTATTATATAGAGTTTGTCTTTTCCTTTTTTTTTTATAAAAAGGTTTCCTGGGGACGAAAAATATGGTAGTTTGGTTTTTTTTTTTCATTGCACGTAATTTTTTGACTTTCCTTTAATGATTTTTTCGTTTTCCCTTTTTTTTTTTAAGGAATATTTTTTAAAAGGTTTTGGTTTTAAGATAAACAATGGAAATTAAACTAATCTAGGTTGTTGTCCTTTTCTCTTATTTTAGTTTGAGTTTTTGGAAATTTTATATAATAAGTTTTATTTTATTTTTGTAAGTAACATTATAAGAATATTTTTTTAAAGGTTTTGGTTTTAAGATATTTTCTTTTTTTGTAAGTAACGTTATTGGAATATTTTTTTTAAAGGTTTTGGTTTTAAGATATTTTCCTTTTTTAATTTTTTTNGNNTTTNANNNAAANTNAGANNNTNAAATATANTGACACATGTCATCATCTGATGAATGATAGCCACATGTCGTGATCTGGTGCTTAAGAATTTTGCCTACGTGTCAAGTTCTCATCGCGCGCATTCTCCTT